AGTCATGACCAAATTGGACAAAACGTCATACCACATTAAAAAAATAATCAGTTAATAAAAAAAGTAATTATGAAAGGATGAGAGAGATGAAAACTAAAGTCAAGACTGAAGACACCAGTACATCAGAACCACAATCTTGATCCACAGTAATTGGACTGAGAGCAGAGACCTTGAAAAAGTTATGTTTAAGACATCCAATTGCACTGCACTATCCCAAGAAGGCAAAGTGCATATTTTCATGTGGCTTATAAGAACTCTCAACCACTGAGATAAAAGAACATCCTCATAACTTCATCCATCTATCAAATGGTCTGACAAACAATGTCAAGAATTTCACCATAATGTAATTCCCAAGAAACTCTGCACACATAATAAATTTTCAACAAATCTGCTAAAATACCCTGAAATAAATGTATCATACATAGGGAATGATCTTTAAAGTACTGAAGCAGTGTTCACGAACCTGCAAACTGTCTCAGCCATACCAATTACAAGACTATGTACATTCTGTGCGGTAAAGTCCTTGTGTAGACTTCAATTTTTTTAGTATCATAAGAGCATATTGTAATCCTTCAGTCAACAAATTTTGAGGATGTGAAGTTGGTGTTTGTGGTCATGAACAAAATTACAGCCATTCCATGTGGTGAGTTTTGTTCAGTTGGCTATTCACTAACATGTGGCCACAAAGGGGCTACACTGTACTGTTCAGGGTGGCAGACATTGTCTCAAGCAGGGTCAAGGAGGACAAAACAGCCAGTCTCCTTGGTGTGTGAGTGGCTGCAACCTCAAGGGGTCTCTGTAAATCCATCACTGTTGTCTCATATTCCTATAAAGAAGAGTGTAAGCAGCATACAGATGACACCAGATGAATACAAGAGGACCAAGGAGCATCTCAAGGAGAGGTTTTATTGGTATGGCATGGGCCGTGATATTCATAACTTTGTCTTAGATTGCTCAAGGTGCAACCAGAGCAAAAAAATCAACAAGACGGGGAAAAGTCCCTCTCAAGGAATTTCAGGCGGGTGCTCCGAGGGAAAGAGTACATCTAGATTTTCTTGGACCTTTACCAAAAACTAGCAGAGGACATGAGTATATCTTGATGATGGTTGCCCAGTTTACAAAGTGGGTTGAATGCATTCCTTTAATGCATTCCAGCGGACAAGGGCCACCAGTATGCCACCAATTTCTTGGACTTAAAGAAAGCAGCAGAGGACTTGGCATATGTAACAATGCCAGAGTTTTTAGATCCACCACCTTTAATGGATATCCCACGACACTGCTGGTTTATGAAAGTGAACCAACTGGATGTCATCTCAAGACTGGACTATGAACTAGCCGAACTCACATCTACAACTGGGGATATTCTCAAAATTGACTCCACAAAAAAAATAAAAATAAGCTTGCAGGTGAGCTAGCAGTTCATGGACGTACATCAATTCTTCTCTTTTTCAGTGTGATATTATTTAAAATAAAATTTATGATGGTGGGCTTCAGTTTTAAGATGGACTTCAGTCAAGCAAAGGTGATTTTGTGATGCCATGAATGATGCTAAAACAAAACAAAACCATGTTTTGTTGAGAAATGTTTTAAGCTAAGTTAAGCTTAACACCAAAGAAAAAATTATAGGAAAATTACTCCAGCATTAGACTTTCATAACAGTATTAGTATGTAATCTTATTATTATGTATTGCCAATCAACAAACACTTTCTCCTCTATATTGTGTCATAATCTGACTTTACAGGTGCTAGCAGAGGCATTGCAATGTGGGCCATGAATATTGGAAACGAGCACGGTCAGGTGCTTATGTCTGTGCTCACTGATGGAGAGGGGGAAGGCCTGAGGAACATGGTGGACGGTTTTGTCACCAGGTACAGGGATGCTGGTATACCACCTCCCAAAGTTTTGTACACAGACAGAGACTGCTGTGGTAGACAGTGCATCAGCCAGTATTTCAGCTCCTGGCCATTCCTTCATGTAAAGTATGTAGTTTGTAGCAGATTACATTGTTTTAAAGTACATAATGATACATAATGAATTGTGTTGTGATAACACATTAGCACAAAATTGTTAAATTGGAATAAGGTCTTTTGTATAGGGTAAATTATTTAAACCCTAATATCTGATGGGGGAAATAACAGCAATTGCTCACTTTCCCCCTAATTTATAGGAGTTTGTACAATACAATGTTGTATTCTACCATTACCATTTCAGACTTGACTTATGGCACTTTATGTGCTGATTCCCAAATGGATGCACTACAGACAAACAGTCCTTTTATGGCAAAGCTCAGTAGTTGCATATTTAAGATAGATTAAGGTGACTATGCACTGCTGAGAAGGGCCAAAAGAGCAGAACTTGTACAGCAAGGGTTTTTGAGCCCATCAGACAGTGATGTAGAGCCACATATAACTTCGTGTTATAGTGAGGAATTACGTCAGCAGTGTGGAGCTTTCGAACATTTATTCCCTCACTATAACAAGTGGTGGGGGAAAAAAGTCGATCCCCGCTCTACATAAGCAAGTGGAACGGTGATACAGTTATGGTGATGACGGCAGCAAGAGCGTAGACACCGAAGGGTTTACACCATCCACCAAGGGGCAAACATCGTCAGTGCCCCAGCGCAGAGGAAATTGAGTATGCTAGGTACTGAAAATAGCCATAAGTCATTACTGCCAGCAACAATTAACAACTGAAAAGAAAAGCTGAAGATGTCAGATTTATCTTTAACGCCAGAAAAGTTTTCTGGTCACGAAAATGAAGATGTCGAAAGGTGGTTAAAGCACTTTGAAAACTATACGCAGTATAAAAAATTAGAAGAAGCACAAATCACCGCCTTGTTTCCTCTGTTGCTAACTCAAATAGTGAGTCATTACCAACTACAGTGCAGAAAAACTGGGAATTGCTCGTCCACGAGTTTTGTGCACAGTACCAACTGAGAGACGGAGAAACGTGGAGTGAAAGCTTCAGAATTTTTTAGATGTCATCAGCTGCTAGAAGAACCTGTACAGAATTACATTACAGCAATACGTCATGACGGCAAACTTGCGTGATTAGATGAGGGAACTGCCCTTACAGTGGTTATGAATGGGTTACTCCCCGAAATCTGTCCATTTGTAGTGCAGAGAGAGCCCTCTGATTTTGATTCGCTGATGCACCACAAAAAACGCTGTTTAGCCGACCAAAAGAAGCCAACAAATAGACATTTTGCATAGCTCAATTAGTGATGCCATACGTACCAGCACATAGTCAGCGAGCCATATGTTACAAAATCTAAAGATGACCAGTTATGAAACTTTGCATCCCCCGAGAGCGAGCCCAGTTGCGTCTCCAAAAAGGTTCACACCCAGTGCTGAAGAATCACATCCCCAGGATTTGAGGATGCTGAGCAGCTGGCCCTACTTGTGCAAGAAGAAGCTACTGTAATGCCTCAGCGATAAAGAATGCAGGCAAATGATGAGTGAGGGTAAATTTTACCTTAGTTTTCATCATTCACTTGACTTTTATGCAATATTTCAACATTTCATATACACTTCTGACACTTAGAATATGAAAAGCAATGCATCGCTAACTTTATGAACAAAAGTGGAAGGAAGATTGTGTGATTATGCCGATTTGATATATATATATATATATATATATATATATATATATATATATATCAAATCAGCATAATCCTCTAACTGAAAGCTTTGCCCTTGCTCTTGTGAATAGATGACAAGTTGTAATGTGTACTTAGTGATTCGTATTGCATATTAAGTATGCATGTGTTCAGCTTTTACCACATTTTGTGTATTTAACTTTATAGGCATATTCAGGCAAAAAGTTTTTTTTATATTTAATCCAGATCTTTTAAAGGAAATGCTTTCGTTAAATTGTAAAGATTAAAATAATTTATATTTATTCTCTTGTATTTTGAGATTGAAGCATGTTAATTAATAAGTGCTTGTTAAAAATAAATGATTGCCTTATTATTTTCAGGTTGTTGGACCTGATAACGTGCCCGGGTATGACAAGGTACTGCAGCTTGCCGAGTTCCTGGTAGAACTGCGTGACGTGCAAGTGCTTAGCTTGAACCAGACTGAACGGATTTCCTACCTGTGGTAACAATTGTCTGACTTTGACAAAAAGAGGATGGTCTTCCCCCAGAGGTTTACAAAGAAGCCATGGTCAGGAAAGTTTGGCTGGAGGGGGAAGAATGTCGTGCAAGGCGTGGAGAACATCACTAAGTAAGTACAAACACAAAGAAAATATAGAGACACTAAGTACCATTTTAGTTTCAATATTATCTATTTGTGTTTACCATACACCCGTATGTCAATTGACATTCAAATAGCCCAGCTACTGTAATGTACTGCTAGAGTAATGGTTTACTAAAAAGGATCTTTACAACTGTAGCAAAAATTCACTGTATTTCATTATAAATTAGACATAAATTACTGCATGTAGCCTGAATGCTCATATCTGTAAATTTTCACTAGTTAATCTCATTTTTTCAAGGTGAAAGCATTGGAATATAACCTTTCATTGTCAATTTATTATCCGTAATCCTTTCTATTTGCCATGTTTCAGAGTCTTGGGCCAAATCAAGGCCCAGCACAGTGACCAAACTGCAACAGATATACTGAGGCCATTTGTGAAAAGCTGCTGAATGTTTATCCAGGTGATCAAAAGCGGAATGGCCGGGTTTGGACAAGATGGCGTCTTGTCCTTGGGGCCTACCACAACATCAGGTAGGTGGTCCTCAAGTCCCAAAAAGCAATGCAAGGCATAGACATCCAACTCCCCTTGCTCAACAAGAAAACCCTGCTACAATGGGAAGTATAAAACATTTTTCCCTTTGAACTCATCAGAGAAAATGATTTTTGACTTTGTCTTTAAATCAATATCAAATGAAAAACATTTTTTGTCTTTTAATGCATCAAATGGAATTACTTCAAAACTTTGACATTGAATAAAAATCAAAGGAAGACCATTTTTGTCACTTTAATGCATGAGATAAAATTACTTTAAGACTTTGCCAATGAATACAAATCAAAGAAATGCTATTAAATTCTTTTAAAACTTAAGCTTGCAAGTAATCAACTTGTTTTTGCGATAAGAGCCGTTTTAATGTGGGCATTTCGCTGTATATTAAAGATAATCTTTGATGCATTGTTCATTGTGTTATTATATCTCAACATTATGAATTTTTTTGAGATAAGAAAAAAATTGACTTCAGAATGAGAACAATAACAAAAAGTTTCAAGTGTCAAGCAAGTAATGATTTTGTGATTCACACCTTCACAGGTAAATAAACATTTCCTAGTTGGACTTTTTATAGTCAATTAATTGACCTAATGTAAACAATACTTTTTCAGGACTGGATAGCAGTGGTGTACCACTAATAGAAACAACTAAGATGGCTGAAATCTGGGCCAAGCAAAAGACACATGTTTCATGTCTCCAGGATCCCCCTGGTGTGAAACTATATGTCAAGGTCAACACCATCAAGAAAGGAGGTGTAGAGCTGCCTGTGTAAAAATGTGCCAGAGGATCTACTTCTCTTGAAAACTTTCATCTGCACATGGCCAGATTCATTCCAGGTATGGAAATCAAAGTCTTTAATTGAAACATTGCGACCATGTTGAATATAACTTTTGAAATTTTGTGTACCCTGCAACTGAGAATAATGTGTGAACAGTGACGCAAAAATCATAACAAATCACACGAAAAAATAAGGATTTTTTACAATTTTCCAGCAATATAGAAATATTAATCATATTTGTATATGTTGATTATCAAAGCAATAATATGTTGTAAACTAGTAAGTAATCATATGTAATGCTCATTTACTCAATCATTTAATTATTTTTTTGGTAGGATCACTTGGGAAAGATACAAATTTCCAGGTGTACCTCCTGGATGGTTTATTCCAATGGAATGCGGATAGGTCTGCTGATGCGGTCACCTCTGACCACCAGGGCACCGTTCACCCAAGAACATACAGTGGGCCATTAAAGCGAAATATTAATCAGCTGTGGGAGGAAGTCTGTGGACGACCATTTTTTGAAAAATACAAGCCACCTGCAAAATACACAGGTTTGTAAAAATAGTCTGGATATATATGTATATATATTATTAATTTCAGTCCCTCTCTTTTACATTATTTATTAGTGTTTATCATCATCAGCTCGGTTTTCTTCATGTTGATCTCGAGTCCCGTTTGTGCTGACTTGGTTGAAAAGGTCCCTATTCATATTGCCCTTAGCTAAATCGCCATTCCTAAGTTGTTAAAGTGCCTAAGTTGACTTACAATTTTTGGTGGTGAAAATGTTGACTTATGCAAGGTTTACTGTATTTATAGGTGAGCTTGTTGGCATTCAGTACTTATACAGCCAGGCAGGAAAGGAATTTCCCAGTTTTGGTGAAACAATAGAACAGCTGATACAAGATGATGAAATGGATACAGAAGTTGAAACCGAAGTGGAAAATGAGGATGAAGGATTTGAGGATGCTGAGCAGCTGCCCGTACTTGTGCAAGAAGAAGCTACTGTAATGCCTCAGCCTCGGCAAATTCTTCACATCCCCAGTGATAAAGAATATAGGCAAATGATCAGTGAAGGTAAATTTTACCTTAGTTTTCATCATTCACTTGACTTTTATGCTATATTTCAACATTTCATATACACTTCCGACACTAAGAATATGAAAAGCAATGCATCGCTAATTTTATGAACAGAAGTGGAAGGAAGATTGTGCGACTGTTGTTTAAAGACCTTGTAATTATCTTAGGAGATTCAGTGTTTTAACGTCTTCAGGATTAAATGTTTATACACTTTTGAGTCATACATTTTGATGATCAGAAAACTTTTCTATAATTTCATCCATATAATCATGTATTCTTGGATGCTTTTATATGAATCACTGCAGTGTGAACATAAATAATTGTAGTGCCTCTCTTAAACATTACTCAATATAGATCCAGATGATGTGCTGCCTATACCCATGCCCTCTATGGACACCATGCCAGAAGTGCCAGCTATAGTACCATCTCTAAGTGACAGTGCAACACCCTCTTTGGTAGACAGCACTTTGGTAGAGAGTAGCAGTGAAGTAAGTGATCCAATATATATATATATATATATATATATATATATATATATATATATATATAATCCTCTAATTGAAAGCTTTGCCCTTGCTCTTGTGAATAGATGACAAGTTGTAAAGTGTACTTAGTGATTCGTATTCTACTGCCAATCAGGATCACACGAGATTAGGCGAGATTGCGTAGTGATACCAAAAGTCAATGCGTAGCTGACCTATTTTTCGAGTCAGAAGTATTTTTCACAGGATGAAGAGGTTTTACGAAAAATTGAAGATTAGTTTGTGCTTAGTGTGCCAGTATTGCATGCGTGCAGTACAAGTGGTACTAAACGTTTTAATACGATAACTGAACGGCTCCAGTGCATGCGTGCACGGAATATCGCCAACTGAACTATGGCTGTTGAGACAGTAAAATGTTCAGACTTAACATCCGCTAGGTTGTTGGACCTGATAATGTGCCTAGGTATGACAAGGTACAAGTGGTACTAAACGTTTTAATACGATAACTGAACGGCTCCAGTGCATGCGTGCACGGAATATCGCCAACTGAACTATGGCTGTTGAGACAGTAAAATGTTCAGACTTAACATCCGCTAGGTTGTTGGACCTGATAATGTGCCTAGGTATGACAAGGTACAAGTGGTACTAAACGTTTTAATACGATAACTGAACGGCTCCAGTGCATGCGTGCACGGAATATCGCCAACTGAACTATGGCTGTTGAGACAGTAAAATGTTCAGACTTAACATCCGCTAGGTTGTTGGACCTGATAATGTGCCTAGGTATGACAAGGTACAAGTGGTACTAAACGTTTTAATACGATAACTGAACGGCTCCAGTGCATGCGTGCACGGAATATCGCCAACTGAACTATGGCTGTTGAGACAGTAAAATGTTCAGACTTAACATCCGCTAGGTTGTTGGACCTGATAATGTGCCTAGGTATGACAAGGTACAAGTGGTACTAAACGTTTTAATACGATAACTGAACGGCTCCAGTGCATGCGTGCACGGAATATCGCCAACTGAACTATGGCTGTTGAGACAGTAAAATGTTCAGACTTAACATCCGCTAGGTTGTTGGACCTGATAATGTGCCTAGGTATGACAAGGTACAAGTGGTACTAAACGTTTTAATACGATAACTGAACGGCTCCAGTGCATGCGTGCACGGAATATCGCCAACTGAACTATGGCTGTTGAGACAGTAAAATGTTCAGACTTAACATCCGCTAGGTTGTTGGACCTGATAATGTGCCTAGGTATAGGGGTGGGCAAATGACAAAATTTTTTTAAAACAGGTGGATTCTATGGCCATTTTGGCTGCTGAACACAAATCTGACAATATTTTTTGCCAAAGATAAAGATTTATATTGGTATCTGCTGTTTTTGTGAAAAAAGGCGGGAAAATGGCTTTTTGGCCATATTTTCGCAGTAAAGTGCATAATAATGATGTGTAATATGTCTTTCCATATGTTTTGGGGGTTGCAGAGTTCAAATATCAGCATATTCAAGACATTGGGAATATTGTTAGGGTGACATCTTTAAAAATATGTTATTTTAAGCAAAAATATACAGAAAATGCATGCTAAAATAAATGCAAATAATGGCCATTATGTACATACTGAATTCATGGATAACAGTTTGATATTGAAAACAATGCTGAAAATAACTGGATGTGTACCAACTAATGTTATGCTGCATAATTGACCTTTTCCTTAGAACAGATAAAACTTTATTAAGTGGCATTAATCTCTAACAATCTACTTTTGACATTAGAATAGTACTTTTACATCGGTTGTGTAGTTTAAGATTATATCACCAACACCATGGATGAAAGTAGACAATTGCGCAATAGCACAAAAAAGGAACTGTTTGGAGAAAGTTACAGAGAAATCAATGAGTTCAAATCAACTGGCAAATTACCATCTGGGACCCAGGTCATTGGTAGAATGCTAGCACTTTGTAAAAAGCCAGCCAAGGGACAGAAGGCAATGTCTCGTGATACAAGCAGCAAGATAGTTGCTAATGAGCTTAGGCAAGATGGGATCTCAAAAAATGTATATCCTATGCATGAAAGATCTGTAGCAAGGAAAATTAAAGCAGACTATGAGCGGTTTAATGACTTAAGAAAAATGGAGCAGTGTAAGGAAAAGACGAGAACTGACGAATGGTTTAAAAGTGCCAATGATTTCAATGACATGCTGACAAAACATGCCTACAACATTCGAACAAACGACCCAGCATATCAAAAGCAGCTTGAAGATGAATTTGGAGTTAAGATGACTAAAGAGGATGAAGCTTTCTATGAGGATAATTGCTTTGGGTGTTACAAAGCTGTGTGCACGTCTACAGTTCCAAAACATTGGAAGAAAAAACAGAAAAGGAAGCATGAGCGAGAACAATCAGCAGCAAACAAAAAAGCAGCAACAGTGAGCAGTTTGGAAGAGCAAAAAAGACTAGATGAATCAGAAATGAGTGAATTACTTAATACTCAGATAGATAGTGGGGAAATTGACCCACTTTTTACAGGACCTCAGATGTCAAATACATCTCCCTTCCAAGAACGAAAACTTCGTTCATCAAAAGACGACCCCAATGTAAAAGAAACTGACAAAAAACAGGGCTCTCCGTTTCCGCAAATTAAAATACGCACTGGAAGGAGAAGTCTGAATGAAAGTTTGATGAGATGTATAGTACAGTGTCTTGCAGAGACAAGGATGTCGCCTGATGAAGTTGCCACAGTGGTCGTAAGAGTAGCTAATATGGTGTTTGGTCAGAATTGGAAAAAACAAAACGAAAAAGATGATGAGAATGATGAAACTGAAAGTGACGAAGAAAGTGAGCCAACAGAATCTTCACCTTCGGTACCAGGAGTCTGCTGCTTGTCTAATGATTTAACTTTTGTTTTCCCAAGTCGTAGATCAATTATGCGATACTTACAGGACGCATCTTACCTAAGCCTAGAGTATGTTGCTCAACAAATCCTCAACAAAGAGGACAGCATTGTCACAGTAGGTCTTGATGATACAACAAAGGCAGCTGGTCATCGTCGTTATGATGTGAAAGCAGACCACATCACCATAGCAGGACCCTCAGGTAAAAGAACAACACTGACTACAGGGTACGTAGAAAATGTGAGCCATAGTGGTGAAGATGGAGCTAAAGCTTATGAATTCAAACTCAAGTGCTTGGCCATCCTTGCCAACTCCACAGTGGATGAACTGAAATCAGAGATAGACTTCTGGATGACAGACCGTGCTGCAGACTGTGAAGTGCTTCTTCAGACACTTGGAGTAGACCCAAGCAAAATCTTAAAGTGCTGTGCTCATATTATCTTGGGTATAGATCATGCAATAGATAAAGTGTTCAAGAACACAGAACAGAAGATTGGCATACACCAGCTACTGGAGGTTTCCGCAGGTGAGAAGGTTTTCCTATCCCCAGGATCCTCAATTCATACACTAGGTCTTATTGCTATATCCAAATTACTATCTCCTAGCCATGCTCAGCACTCAGTGTCCTTATACAATGACTTTAAGTCTTGGATGGCAGATAACAATATTCCGTGCCAAGGATTTAAAGGATTTGAAGCCAACAGATTTGGAAGAATTGCAGAACTTGCTAAGGAGTACCTGTCATGGCGTGAGTCCATCCAAACTTTCTTTGATGCAGTTGTGGACACCAATAGCAACAAGCTTGTCCTCGCGGTCGCCACATTCATTCAGAATGAATGGTTCACATGCTGTTCTGAGATTTACACAATGATAGGACATCTTATTATCTTCCCAATGATGGAACTTCTGGGCATTGACAAGATGGGCAATCAGGATACTGCAGACAGAACATGGGCAGGAGTGAAGAGTTTCCTTGAGGGCAAACAAGTTGAGTTAGAGAAGATTATGTTAAAAAAGAGAGGAGAAGCAGAATCTGGAAGAGATAAACTTGTTGCTGCTGTGATTGAAGAAGTTATTGATACATTAAAGAACCAGATGTCCAAGACTGATTATTTCAGAAGATCAGATGTTGACAGTGATGATGATATGAAGTATGCTCCATTGACGAACTTAGGGTGTGAGTCTGAATTTTCAAAGCTAGACCACAGGATTAAAGTTACTGGTGGAAGTTCTTCTGTTCAGACTCTTTCCAGAAAGAATCTGCTTGCAAGTAGTGGTCTTCTGGTACATTCTCAATTTGAAAGCAAGAGTGCAGCAGAAAGGAAAGAAAGATGGAAATGGGCTCGCTGTTCTGAAGAGGTGAAAGCAGTGCAAAAACTAGAAACAGACTTTCTTGCAACTGTTGAATCTGCAAAGAAACTAGCACTACACAAGAAGGAGGAACTCAAGAAGAAAAAAGCTTGTAAAACTCTTGCAGTTTTGGAGAGATGTAAAGACCATAATGGCCCACTGACTGTTAAAAGCCTAGACTTATTACCAAGTCTCACGGAAAAACAACTCTTAGATGAAATAAATTATCTGCGGCTCACAGTGGCTCCAGACATACGTCAGAAGAGGCGTGTTAAAGCAGCAGATGGCAAGTTTAGAATGGAAAAATTCACTGTAGAGGAACTGAAAGCATCAATAAAAAATGCACTGAAACCAGAAGCCACTGTAAATGAAGACATTAATGCTTTGCTACTGAGTGTACAACTGTAAACATTCATGTATGTAAATAACAATATGACTACTCTATAAAACAAGATTGTACAGTTTCATGTGAACCATTGACCATATTTGTTTTTTTTTATTGTTTTCCCCATCTTAAAAGCCACAGTTGCATAAACATTTGAATTTTCGTATACAAAAATGGTCGTTTAGGGGTGTTTTTTACCTCAAAATGACCAAAAATCCTCTTTTTAACACAAAATAAAATGACTCAGCAAAACCTATTCATCTATTTTGTGCTTGTTGATCATAAAATCATATGGTTAGACATATTACAAGCCATATTTGAACCGATATTTAGAGATTTACATGAGAAATATGTGATTTGAGGGAGCGTTTGGTGGCCATTTTGAAAAATCACTTGATACCAATATCAGATGTAATTTAAAATGAAAATACTTATTAGATTTGTATTCAGCAGGCAAAATGGCCATAGAATCCACTTGTCTGAAATTGAATTTCCCAAAAAAGCGTTCATTTGCCCACCCCTACTAGGTATGACAAGGTACTGCAGCTTGCTGAGTTCCTGGTAGAACTGCGTGACGTGCAAGTGCTTAGCTTGAACCAGACTTAACGGATTTCCTACCTGTGGTCACAATTGTCTGACTTTGACAAAAAGAGGATGGTCTTCCCCAAGAGGTTTACAAAGAAGCCATGGTCAGGAAAGTTTGGCTGGAGGGGGAAGAATGTTGTGTAAGGCGTGGAGAACATCACTAAGTAAGTATAAACACAAAGAAAATATAGAGACACTAAGTACCATTTTAGTTTCAATATTATCTATTTGTGTTTACCATATGCCTGTATGTCACCNCTGTGGTCACAATTGTCTGACTTTGACAAAAAGAGGATGGTCTTCCCCAAGAGGTTTACAAAGAAGCCATGGTCAGGAAAGTTTGGCTGGAGGGGGAAGAATGTTGTGCAAGGCGTGGAGAACATCACTAATTAAGTATAAACACAAAGAAAATATAGAGACACTAAGTACCATTTTAGTTTCAATATTATCTATTTGTGTTTACCATACACCCGTATGTCAATTGACATTCAAATAGCCCAGCTACTGTAATGTACTGCTAGAGTAATGGTTTACTAAAAAGGATCTTTACAACTGTAGCAAAAATTCACTATGTATTTCATTATAAATTAGACATAAATTACTGCATGTAGCCTGAATGCTCATATCTGTAAATTTTCACTAGTTAGTCTCATTTTTTCAAGGTGAAACCATTTGAATATAACCTTTCATTGTCAATTTATTATCTGTAGTCCTTTCTATTTGCCATGTTTCAGAGTTGTACTTGGGCCAAATCAAGGCCCAACACAGTGGCCAAACTGCAACAGGTATACTGAGGCCATTTGTGAAAAACTGCTCAATATATATCCAGGTGAGCAAAAGCGGGATGGCCGGGTTTGGGCAAGATGGCATCTTGTCCTTGGGACCTACCACAACATCAGGAAGGTGGTCCTCAAGTCCCAAAAAGTAATGCAAGGCACAGACATCCAACTCCCCTTGCTCAACAAGAAAACCCTGCTACAATGGTAAGTATAAAACATTTTTCCCTTTGAACTCATCAGAAAAAATGATTTTTGACTTTGTCTTTAAATAAATATCAAATGAAAAACATTTTTTTGTGTCTTTTAATGCATCAAATGGAATTACTTCAAAACCTTGACAATGAATAAAAATCAAAGGAAGAACATTTTTGTCCCTTTAATGCTTGAGATAAAATTACTTTAAGACTTTGCCGATGAATACAAATCAAAGAAATGCTATCAAATTCTTTTAATCTTTTAAGATTAAAACTTAAGCTTGCAAGTAATCAACTTGTTTTTGCGATAAGAGCCGTTTTAATATGGGCATTTTTCTGTATATTAAAGATAATCTTTGATAATTTGATTTCAGATACAACAAGGAAGAGAAGAAGAGTGAACAGAAAGTCCTTCTGCAGGGCCTCAACCAAGGGCAAAGAAACTGTATTTCATCATAGTTCAAACTATGATTCGCATCCAATCAACATCCAGAAATCATAGTTTCAACTATGATTCCTAACTATGATTTGTCCAATGAAAATTGAGGAATGACCACCATGTTTCAAGTTATGATAAAATTTCTACAGACTGTGAATAACAGTGAATTACAGCAGTTGTAAGGGGTGATTATCACTGGAACCTTTGTTTTTCGGACATTGTTGATCTAGTTTACTATGGAGACTCCTCAGTCAAATTTGGATCACCAAGTTTATTATTGTTATTCGCAATAATATCTAGGAAGCATAATCACCCCTTCCTGTGACAATATATTGAAGTTCAGTTCAGTTTTATTATCAGAGGAAACATGCTTCCCAAAAGTTTAAAATTCTACGAGGTAGGAGGTGGGACGCCTGCCACAGCCGCGAGCACCTACTCCACC